CTTCACCTGGCCAGGAGATCCTGAAGACCCCAAGGTGGATCTTCACCTGGCCAGGTGGTCAAGGACCTCCTAAAAGACCCCCAAGCCCACCCCACCAGGTGACCAAAGTATTTTCAATGTCTCCAGCCCCATTTTTGGGGTACCCACCTCCATTTTTAAGGTACTCACCTCCATTTTGGGGTCCTCAGCCCCATTTTGGGGTCCCCAGCCCCATTTTTGGGTTCCTCAGCCCATTTTTGGGGTCTCCACCTCCATTTTGGTGTCCGCAGTCCCATTTTTGGGGTCCCCAGCTTCATTTTTGGGGTTCCCAGCTCCATTTTTGGGGTTCCCAGCCCATTTTTGGGGTTCCCAGCTCCATTTTTGGGGTTCCCAGCTCCATTTTTGGGGTCCCCAGCTCCATTTTTGGGTTCCTCAGCCCATTTTTGTATCTCCACCTCCATTTTGGGGATCTCCTGTCCCATTTTTGGGTTCCTCACCCCATTTTTGAGGTCCCCAGCCCCATTCTGGGGTTCTCCAGCCCATTTTTGAGGTCCCCAGCCCATTTTTGGGGTCTCCACCTCCATTTTGGGGTCCCCTGTCCTATTTTTGCATCTCCACCTCCATTTTGGGGATCTCCTGTCCCATTTTTGGGTTCCTCAGCCCATTTTTGGGGTCTCCACCTCCATTTTGGTGTCCGCAGTCCCATTTTTGGGGTCCCCAGCTCCATTTTTGGGGTCCCCAGCTCCATTTTTTGGGTTCCCAGCTCCATTTTTGAGGTCCCCAGCCCATTTTTGGGGTTCCCAGCTCCATTTTTGGGGTCCCCAGCCCATTTTTGTATCTTCACCTCCATTTTGGGGATCTCCTGTCCCATTTTTGGGTTCCTCAGCCCATTTTTGGGGTCCCCTCCCCATTTTTGGGGTCCCCTCCCCCATTTTTGAGGTCCCCCACCCCATTTTTGGGGTTCCCAGCCCCATTTTTGGGGTCCCAACCCCATTTTTGGGGTCCCCACCCCCCCCGTGTCCCCCGTCCCCGCCGGATTTGGGATTTCCTCATCCTCCCCTCCCCCGGCCATGGCGCAAGAATTTGGGAGAGGAACTGGGGGGGGGAGGGGCAGCTCCACCCTTCCCCCCCTCCGCTGGGTGGGGACCCCAAAAACGGGGCTGGGGACCCCCAAAATTGGGGTGAGGAACCCAAAATTGGGGTGAGGAAACCAAAATTGGGGTGAGGAACCCAAAAATGGGGTGAGGAACCCAAAATTGGGGTGAGGAACCCAAAAATGGGGCTGGGGACCCCCAATATTGGGGTAAGGAACCCAGAATTGGGGTGAGGAACCCAAAATTGGGGTGAGGAACCCAAAAATGGGGTGAGGAACCCAGAATTGGGGTGAGGAACCCAAAAATGGGGCTGGGAACCCCAAAAATTGAAGGTGGAGAACCAAAAAAATGGAGTGGAGACCCCAAAAATGAGGTTAGGGACCCCAAAAACGGGGTTGGAGACCCCAAAAATGAGGTTGGTGACCCCAAAAATGGGGTTGGAGACCCCAAAAATGAGGTTGGGGACCCCAAAAATGGGGTCAAGAACCCTCAAAAACAGTGGGGGGGAGAACCCAAAAATGAGGCTGGAAATGCCCCAAAATTCACTTTGGAGATCCCAAAACTGGGCCTGGAGACCCCCGAATGAGGCCGAGACCCCCAAAATTGGGGTGGGGACCCCCCCCAAACTGGTCCGAACTGGGAGGGGTCCCCCCAAAAAAAACTCCCCCCAAAAAATGAGAACAAAGAGGCCAAAAATGGCAACAAAAAGCCCCAAAAAAACCCAAAAACGAGGTGGAAACCCTAAAATTCAGGCCGGGACCCCCCAAAAACGAGGCGGGGAGCCCCCAAAATTGGGTTGGAAGGGGAGGGGTCCCCCCAAACCCCCCCGGGACCCCCCAAAATCCGCCCCCCCCTCACCTGGAGCGGCCGCCGCGGTTTTTAGCGGAACCCGCGGGAAGGGGAAATAAACCCGGGGGGGCAGGAAATCCCAAAAAAAGGGGGGTGGGAGGGGCCGGGGGGGCGGGGAACCCCAAAATTTTGGGGGGAGGGTTGGGGACACCCCCACCCCAAAATTTGGGGCTTTTTTGGGGGAAAAAAACCCCCAAAATTTGGGGTTTTTATAAAGGAAAAAAAGCTCCGAATTTGGGGTTTTTATAGAGGAAAAAAGCTCCGAATTTGGGGTTTTTTTGGAGGAACCGCCCCAAAATTTGGGTGTTTTGTTTTTTTTTTGAGGAACCACCCCAAAATTTGGGTTTTTTTGGGGGGGTGAAAGGGATCGGGGGAACCTCAACATTTATGGGGACACCCCAAAATTAAGGACAAAGCCAGAGAAGTTTTGGAGTTTTATTCGACAAAGACAAAATTGGGGAGGGGGGACCCCAAAATCCCCAGGGGGGGAAATTTGGGGACCCCCCCCCAGGTGAGATTTGGGATTTTTGGGGTCCCCCCAGGGGGATTTTGGGAATTTTTGGGGTCCCGGTCCCACCTGGGGGGGCTCAGGTGAGATTTGGGATTTTTTGGGGCCCCCAGGGGGATTTTGGGATTTTTTGGGGTCCCAGTCCCACCTGGGGGGCTCAGGTGAGATTTTGGGATTTTTTGGGTCCCCCCAGGGGGATTTTGGGAATTTTTGGGGTCCCCCCAGGGAAATTTTGGGAATTTTTGGGGTCCCGGTCCCACCTGGGGGGTCAGGTGGGATTTGGAATTTTTTGGGGTCCCCACAGGTGAGATTTGGGATTTTTGGGGTCCCCCCAGGTGGGATTTGGGATTTTTGGGGTCCCCCAGGTGAGATTTGGAATTTTTGGGGTCCCCCCAGGGAAATTTTGAGAATTTTTGGGGTCCCGGTCCCACCTGGGGGGGCTCAGGTGAGATTTGGGATTTTTTGGGGTCCCCCCAGGTGAGATTTGGAATTTTTGGGGTCCCCCCAGGGGGATTTTGGGAATTTTTGGGGTCCCGGTCCCACCTGGGGGGACTCAGGTGAGATTTGGGATTTTTTGGGGCCCCCCCAGGTGAGATTTTGGGTTTTTTGGGGTCCCCCCAGGGGGATTTTGGGAATTTTTGGGGTCCCGGTCCCACCTGGGGGGTCAGGTGGGATTTGGAATTTTTTGGGGTCCCCCCAGGTGAGATTTGGGAATTTTTGGGGTCCCCCCAGGGGGATTTTGGGAATTTTTGGGGTCCTGGTCCCACCTGGGGGCTCAGGTGAGATTTGGGATTTTTTGGGGTCCCCCCAGGGGGATTTTGGGAATTTTTGGGGTCCCGGTCCCACCTGGGGGGGCTCAGGTGAGATTTTGGGATTTTTTGGGGTCCCCCCAGGGAAATTTTGGGAATTTTTGGGGTCCCCCCAGGGGGATTTGGGGATTTCTGGGGTCCCCCAGGTGAGATTTGGGATTTTTGGAGCCCCAAGGGGGATTTTGGGTTTTTTTGGGCCCCCCCAGGTG